CCCAATTGCCTTAGTCTCCCAAGTAGCTAGGAGTAGCTGGGACTACAGGTGCCCACCACAATACCAGGTTATTTTTAGAGGCCAAGTCTTGCTCTTGCTCATGCTGGTCTCAAACTCCTGAGCTCAGGAAATCTACTTGCTTCAGCCTCCCAGAGTGTTGAGATTACAGGTATGAGCCACTCTCTGTTGTCTTGATGTCTCCTTTTTGTGATTTTCTACTCACTGACCTTTTCTCTGATCTTTGACTATAAACACCCATTTTTCCCTTTTTGTGTTTGGAATTGAACCTGTCTCTGCTCTGAGACGGTCTTGACTCTATTGCAAGAGTGTTGAGTGAAATCCTCCTTACCCACTGAGCCACAGGCACCGCCCACTCCTTGCCAATTATTAACAAGCGTCAGAATAATTTATCTTTAACAACCTAGGCTTCATGGCCATGTCTGTGGTCCCAGCTACTCCAGAGGATGAGGAGGAAGGACCATGTGAGCCCAGGAGTTTGAATGAAACCTTGACAACATAGCAAGATTCCACCTCTAAGAAATAAACAAATAAAAGGACAATAATAATTGTTACTGCATCAAAGACATTCTTTTTTTTGGAGACAGAGCCTCAAGCTGTCACCCTGGGTAGAGTGCCATGGCATTACAGCTCACAGCAACCTCCAACTCCTGGGCTTAAGGGATTCTCTTGCTTCAGCTTCTCAAGTAGCTGGGACTACAGGCGCCCACCACAATGCCTGGCTATTTTTTGGTTGTAGTTGTCATTGTTGTTTGGCAGGCCCAGGCTGGATTCGAACCCACCAGCTTTGGTGTATGTGGCTGGTGCCTTAGCCTCTTGAGCTATAGGTGCCAGCCCATCAAAGACATTCTTAAATAAAACTGATCTTTTCTTAAACTGTGAGGGCAAGGCGTTGAAGAACTTGGCTTTAACTCATTATTATTATTATCATTATTGGCTCCTACATTTTAGAAGCTTTTCGAGTCCTGCCAGCAATCTGACCCGTCTATACTTTTACATCACCAGTGTAAATGTCAACTCTGTGAAGAAGGCAAAGTGCACCACGGTATACCATGAAAATAGCTTTGACCTTACAGCCCCTGCAAGCAGATAAGCAGAAGCTAGGGGAGCCAGAGAGGGGTGCAGGGTAGGGAAATCAAGCCCCACCCATATCCTTCAGGCTCCTCAGAACCTCCCCCTGGCAGGGCTTCAACCTCACCCCACCCCCAGGGCTTTCTGGAACTGGCAAGTTTAGGGTTAGGGTCTGCAAGGGGGATAGAGAGGTTCTGGTGGCTAGCGGCTGGAGAGGCTAGGGTGAGGAGGGCAGCAGGCACAATGCTGTAGCCAGTGGTCACGACTAGGAGTCACGCATTGAAGTGAATGCTCAGGGGTGAGTGATTTAGTCCCCAACATGTGGATTTGAAATACTATTTCCATATAAAGAAGCCAGAGCTGGGTGGTGCCTGTGGCTCAAAGGAGTAAGGCGCTGGCCCCATATGGCAGAGGTGGCAGGTTCAAACCCAGCCCTAGCCAAAAAGAAAAAAAAAAAAGGATTAGAACAAACCAGAGCTCATGGAGAAATGACCAATTCCGAGTCTAGGACAATCTCTGATAGGCTGAAAAATAGTCCCCCCCAGAATAACCATATCAACTCCCTGGAACATGTGAATTGTGATCTTGTTTGGGACAAATGTCTTTGCAGGTGTGAATTAAATAAAGGATCTTAAAATGAGGCTGCTGGCTCAGCACCTGTGGCTCAAGTGGCTAAGGCACCAGCCACATACACCTAAGGTGGCGGGTTCGAATTCAGCCTGGGCCTGCCAAACAACAATGATGGCTGCAACCAAAAAACAGCCAGGCATTGCAGCAGGCTCCTGTGGTCCCAGCTATTTGGGAGGTGGAGGCAAGAGACTCGCTCGATCCCAGGAGTCAGAGGTTGCTGTGAGTTGTGATGCCATAGCACTCTACCAAGGGATACAGCTTGAAGCTCTGTCTCAAAAAAAAAAAAAAAAAATGAGGCTGTTATTCTGAATCCTGGGTAGGCCTAAATGGCATCCCAGGGTCCTTGGACTCAACAGAGCTGAAAGCCGTGTGAAATTGGGGCAGAGACACAACCTTAACAAATGCTGGAGCTGCCGGGCACAGTGGTTCACACCTGTAATCCTAGCACTCTGGGAGGCTGAGAGGGGTGGATTGCTTGAGGTCATGAGTTCGAGATCAGCCTGAGCACAAAAAGTGAGGCCCCATCTCTACTAAAAATAGAAAAACTGAGGCAAGAGGATGGCTTGAGCCCAAGAGTTGGAGGTTGCTGTGAGTTATGACACTATGGCACTCTACCCAGGGCAACAGCTTGAGACCCTGTCTCAAAAAAGAAAAAAAAAAAAGGTAATGCCTGTGGCTCAGTGAGTAGGGTGCCGGCCCCATATACCGAAGGTGGCAGGTTCAAACCCAGCCCCACGGAACTTCAACCAAAAAATAGCCAGGCATTGTGGTGGGCACCTGTAGTCCCAGCTACTCAGGAGGCTGAGGCAAGAGAATGGCTTATCCCAGGAGTTGGAGGTTGCTGTGAGCTGTATGACACCACGGCACTCTACCAAGGGCAACAAAGTGAGACTCGGTTTCTACAAAAAAAAAAAAATGCTGGAACTGGCTGGGTGTGGTGGCTTACCCCTATAATCCTAGCACTCTGAAGGACTGAAGGGCTGGTCTTGAACTCCTTACCTTAAGCAATCCACCCACGTCAGCATCCCAGAGTGCTAGGATTACAGGCATGAGCTACCATACCTGGCCCCAAGTCCTTTATTTTTTGTGTAGCTACGGTAAATGTGATTTTCTTAATTTATTTTTGAGATAGTTTGTTGTTAGTGTACAGAAACACTACCAATTTATTTATTTATTTATTTATTTGAGACAGAGCCTCAAGCTATCCCCCTGGGTAGAGTGCCATGGCTTCACAGCTCACAGCAACCTCCAACTCCTGGGCTCAAGCGAGTCTCCTGCCTCAGCCTCTCAAGTAGCTGGGACCACAGGCGCCCGCTACAACGCCCGGCTATTTTTTGGTTGCAGGCATCATTATTGTTTGGCAGGTCCGGGCTGGATTCGAACCTGCCACCTTAGGTGTATGTGGCTGGCATCTTAGCCACTTGAGCCACAGGCGCTGAGCCTATTTCTTTTTTTTTCTGGAGACAGAGCCTCAAGCTGTCGCCCTGAGTAGAGTGCTGTGGCATTATAGCTCACAGCAACCTCCAACTCCCGGGCTTAAGCGATTCTCTTGCCTCAGCCTCTCAAGTAGCTGGGACTACAGGCGCCCACCACAATGCCCAGCTATTTTTTTTTATTTTATTATTATTATTATTATTTTTGTTTGCAGCCATCATTGTTGTTTGGGGGCCTGGGCTGGATTCAAACCCGCCAACTCAGGTGTATGTGGCTCGCACCCTAGCTGCTTGAGCCACAGGTACCCAGCCTCATTTTTTTTTTCTGAGACAGTCTCATTTGGTTGTCCTAGGTAAAGTGCCATGGCATCAGCCTAGCTCACAGTAACTTCAAACTCCTGGGTTCAAGCAATTCTCCACCCTCATCCTCCTGAGTAGCTAGGACTACAGGTGCCTGCCACAATGAGCAGGCTAATTTTTCTATTTTTAGTAGAGATAGGGGTCTCATTCTTGCCTACGCTGGTCTAAAACTCCTGAGCTCAGGGAATCCACCTGGCTGGGCTTCCCAGAGTGCTGATGAAACTGACACCAGTGGGGTTGAGAGAAAGACACCGTGTGCCTCCCAAGCAGGAAAACAACACCACTTCCAAAGCATCTTGCCCACAACAGATCACACTCAAATCAGGTAAAGCCTCTAAATTCATGTACTAATTAGCATGAAATACAAAGGAAAATGTTAACAGACGAGTAGAATATGATTAGCAAAATCCCAGCAGAAGGAGATTCCCTGGGAAAAATGATTCCCTTTCTTTACGGGGATGAATCACTAAAAGATAGACTGGAAGCCTCTGGATTAAAAGAAATGTCTGCAAAGCCAAGATGTAGCATGGCCGGCTATACACCTAGGGAACAAAACCACAGAAAAAAAGGAGTTGGGGCAGTACCTGTGGCTCAGTGATAGGGCGCCAGCACCATATACTGAGGGTGGCCGGTTCGAATCCAGCCCTGCCAAACTGCAGCAACAACAACAAAAAAATACCCAGGGGTTGTAGAGGGTGCCTGTAGTCCCAGCTAATCGAGAATCTGAGGCAAGAGAATTGCCTGAGCCCAAGAGCTGAGGGTTGCTGTGAAAAGTGACACCACAGCACTCTAAAAAAAAGAAAAATCAAAAAAGGAGGGCGGCACTTGTGGCTCAAAGGAGTAGGGCAGCCGGCCCCGTATACCAGAGGTGGTGGGTTCAAACCTGGCCCAGCCAAAAATTGCAAAAAAAAAAAAAAAGAAAAAAAGGAGATGGTGACCATGGAACCACTGGAGGGCTGCAGAGGCCATTCAAGGTTGTGTCTCTTGGTGTCTGTTTTACAGTAATTAACCTGTGCATTTGTTTATGTCATTTTCTACAGATGCATTCCTTTAGCTAAGTTGGGGGGGTTATTAAGGAGACTGAGACAGGAGACTTGGTGATCGTTAAAGAATGTGAAGGTGAGTGGTGACTCCTCCCCATGCTTTGACACAGGAGCTGGGAGGAAGCGCACACCTGTCTGATGGGGCACTTGTGTCTAAGACTCGTGGGACTTGGTCTCTGCCCTATTGTCAGAGTCCCTCAACATGGGCCACTCTCTGCTGCTACAACACACCGGTGGGACAATGAGGATCCAAAACACAAGCTCCTTCAAGGTCTTTATTGCTGCTGGGGACAAGTGGCCATGAGGCATGGTGACTGTAGGTGGGGGGTCCCACATGGGGCTGAGATGGATCATCTCTGTGTCTGATGGTGGCTGTCTGCCCAGGGTCAGGCGCTGAGGGACACAGCCAGCCTGAAGGCCCAGCAGGTGGTGGACAGGTGGGTAGTTACCAACTCAGGACACCTGGGCAATACTTGTCGATGAGCTCCTGGTAGTACGGCCGCAGCTCATCCACGTCTGGCAGGTCAGAGCACTTGGTGTAGAGGTCAAACTTACTACAGTAGAAAAGGAGCAATGAACTTCGTGAGTGAAGGACTGGCCACCCTGCCTCATGACCCCTGAGAGGATAGACATACTTGAACTCCTGCACCCAGGGTAGCATGGCCAGGTCCTGCTGGCTGCACAGCTGCCAATAGTCGCCACCGGTGTGCCAAGGGTAGAAGGAGTGGAATCGGATCATATAGAAGGCCTGTGGGCAAGCCCACACTCAAACACTTGCACATTTCTGCTAACTCTAGGCCAGCTAGACAACTCAGGTGTGCTCTTCCCCACACCTACCTCCAGGGGTAGGGAGAACTTGTTGAACTTCATCATCTGGTACATGTACTCTATGGAGGAGAGGGTGTCAGCACCAGGCACCCAGGGGGCAATGCTCCCCAGTGACTCCTGTGCCCCTTAGTCTCACCGTCGTGGCCCCAGGACATGAGGACTTTGTCAAGCCCACAGTGGGGGTGGTACATGCCAAGTTCAGTGCTGCAGTGAGAGATAAGAGTCAGGAGTGTTCAGAAGCTCCAGGGATGAGGAAGACCCGCTCTAGGGAGAGAAGCACCTGTATCTTGGGTCCTGGAGGTCGGGATTGTCCTGGAAGGTGGAGTCACAGAAAACCACAGAGGCCTGGGGACGGCATCCAACTGGGAAGGTGTCTCCAACGACTGCCCACTGGAGAGGGACAGGCAGCTGTGGAGGGGGTGTGTGCCCTGGTCTGCCCCCACATGGTGCTCCTAGTCCAGAGCCAGGTCTCTCCCGTGGCCTCAACCCTCACCTCCACCAGGTCTCTCCCCATCTCCCCTGTCCTCACCTGGGGCTCCCCCAGCAGAGCCAGGACCTTCCCCAGGTCATGCAGGAGCCCAACAAGGTGGAACCAATCTGAGGGAGACAGAAGGGGGGTGAAGGGTGCAGGGGCCACAGTGGGGCTGGGAGCCAGGAAGGGCCAGGGCCTGATCCCACCCAGAGCTGAGTCTGCTGAGAGAGCCAAGACCCCATACACACACACCATTTGCCCCTCCCCCCAAGCTGGGTGGCAGGGCACACCCTTATCTGGGTGGGCCTTCCGGATGCCTTCTGCTGTCTGAAAGGCGTGGAAGGAGTTGGGGAAATCCACGTCTGGGTCTGATTCATCCACCAGTGCATCCAGCATGCCCACAGCCTCCATGATTGTCATCTTCTTATAGGAGAAGCCTCCAAACTGGGCATGCTAAAGAGTAAGTCAGTGGGGCCACAGCATCAGCAGTGTGCCTACATAGCCCCTCCCTGTCTACTTGGCCCACAGGGATGCTGGGCAGAGGGTGGGCAGTTTGTGGCACCGCCAGGCCTACCTTCCTCCTGACAAAGTCTACTGTCTGGTGGGTGTGCATGAGCTTGTAGGTGGTGAAGACACGGTCCAGCAGGGGACCTGACTGCAAACCAGAGGTCATCCAAAGCTGCAGCCACCCTGCCTGTCACACCACAGGCCCCACTGCCTCCCCTCTCCTGGGGTAGGCCCCAGAAGGTACGGACAGGAGGCTTCCCAAAGGGTCCCACTCCAGGAGCAGGAGTAAGAAGGAGCAGGAGTGGTTGGGCTGGGCAGGAGGGTGAGGGGCAGGGCAGGTCCTCACAGTGTAGTTTCGGAAGCTGCTCTTGTCTTTGGCTGCCTCTGGGTCCACATCAGGTCTGTAGACCAGGGAAGGATCTGGGCCCTGGTTAGATGGGGGATTTAACCCACTTCACCATCACACCAACCCCACAAGGAAGCAAGGACACCCCACGGAGGCCAGAGACCTGAAGGTAGACACAGACACAGCCTCCCCCACACCACCAGCCTGACCCTGCCTCCGCCTTGGTGACTCTGGAGGGCTCCCGCTCCTGGTGTCCTTTTCTGCAGTCCTAGGCTGCGGGCACCATGGGTATGCACAGCAACCTGAGGCACCCCACAGCGGGGATCCGAGTCCACAGGGAGACTGGGGTCAGTCGCAGTTGACCCCTGCCCCAGCAAGACCACGACAGGAAGAAGGGAGCCCTTTGCCCTGGACAGCCAGCAGAGAGGGTGGGAGCAGCCGGCTACCAGGTGAGTGATCAGTGGAGCCACTTCCACATTGGGCCTGGGTACTCACCACAGCCACCTTCATCCTGAGAGGGGTGGTACTTAGTGGAAGAGTACACAGGCAGGCGATCCCTAGGCCAGGTGCCCTATATATGCCCCCAGGTTACGTAAGAGGCCAGACACCACCCAACCCCTTGGCCTCAGCTCTTGGTAATGAGTGACCATCCACCCTCCTCCTGACCTCAACGAGTTAATGTGTCAGCCCAGGAGTAGCCCACAGCAGTCTCAGTCCCTCTTACCCTGATCTCAGCCTCCCAGTCTCAAGCAACTGACCTACTTATGGATGTGCGAGGTCTGCAGCTCAGCCTCTATGCTCACAGCCAGCCCCTCCCATCAGGTGGTACAGATCCCACCCTCAAGCACTCCCCCTCCTCCACACTAAATCTCTGAAGAGAAAACTTGCCCTCCAGGGAACCTGGTACTCTGGGTGGGGCAGAGACTTTTTTTTTTTTTTTTGAAACAGCCTCAAGCTATCCCCCTGGGTAGAGTGCTGTGGCATCACAGCTCACAGCAACCTCCAACTCCTGGGCTCAAGCGAGTCTCCTGCCTCAGCCTCCCAAGTAGCTGGGACCATAGGCACCCACCACAATGCCCAGCAGCTGTCAGTTCGCAGCCATCATTGTTGTTTGGCAGGCCCAGGCTGGATTCAAACCTGCCGCCTTAGGTGTATGTGGCTGGTGCCTTAGCCACTTGAGCCACAGGCACCAAGCCGGGGACAGAGACTTATTGAGAAAAAATTATTTAATTTGTTTAAATGGGATGAAAAACTTTATTCAAGACTATCACAACAGGGGAAAGAGACTGGCTAAATGCAGATACAGGAAAAGCAGCCTGGGACTCACATCCATTGAGCAGAGGGGTTCAGTGGATGCAAACTTTCAAGAGGGTACATTTGGGGGCTCTTCCCAAAGTGACTCAGCAGGATTCTTGCAGGGTGATCAGACCAAGGGTGGGAGATAAAGAATTTGATTAGATATGAAGGGAGGGGGGTTCTTGACAGACCAACCCTGCCGGATTCTTGCTAGCATTGGGCTGGGCTGGCCCAGCAAGGACGGGGCCAAGGTCAGGTGTAGTGGAGCAGAGGCTCCAGGAGCTTGGCCAAGGGGAGAGACTGTGAGGCCCTCAGGAGGTGCCTCCTTGAGAGTCAGCAGCTGGAATGAGCTTAGTCCAGGCTGAAAGGATGCAGCAGGATGCACCACACAGACAAAAATGCCTACCTGGGGAGCTGACCTCTTTGGACCAGGGTCAGAACAGAATTTGAGAAGACCAGGGGTGAGGGCATAGAGCTGTGCAGAACCCAACAGTGGGCTTCACAGATGTGGGAAGAAGCCTGTAGAGAGTGATCCTACCCAACAGACCCCTCTTGCAATAAGCCAGGAACAGAGGGGAGGACCCTGGAGCCTCCTAAAATGGCAAACTGGGGCAGTGCACGGTGGCTCACACCAATAATCTCAGCACTTTGGGAGTCTGAGGCAAGAGGACTATTTGAGCCCAGCAGTCCAATACCAGAATGGCCACCAAAGCAACCCCATAAAAAATTAGCCAGGTAGGGCGGTGGGTGCCTGTGGTCCCAGATAGTGGGGAAGCTGAGGCAGGACAATTGCTGGAGCCAAGAGTTTGAGACTAAAGTGAGCTGTGACCCCACCACTGCTGTCTAGCCTACACAAGAGCAGGACTCTGCCTCCAAAACAAAAAATTAAAATTAAAAATAGGCCAAGCATGAGCCATCCCAACACACTGGGAGGCCGAGGCAGGTGGATCACTTGAGCTCAGGTGGATCACTTGAACCCAGCCTAAGCAAGAGTGAGACCCCGTCTCTACTAAAAACAGAAAAATTAGCCAGACGTTGTAGTGGGCATCTGTAGTCTCAGCTACTCAGGAGGTTGAGGCAGTTTTAGGTTGTTTTGAGCTATGACGCCATAGCATTCTACCCAGGGTGACAGAGTAAGACTCTGTCTCAAAAAAAAAAAAAAAATTAAAAATTAAAAATAAAATAGCAGGGCAGCGCCTGTATCTCAGTGGGTAGGGCACCAGCTACATACATGAAGGCAGGCAGTTTCGAACCTGGCCTGGGCCAGCTAAAACAGCAATGACAACTGCAACAAAAAAATAGCTGGGCATTGTGGCAGGTGCCTGTAGTCTCAGTTACTTGGGAGGCTGAAGTAAGAGAATCACTTAAGCCCAAGAGTTTGAGGTTGCTATGAGCTGTGACACCATGGCACTCTACCCAGAGCAACAGCTTGAGACTCTGTCTCAAACTAAAAAATAAATAAATAAATAAAACAGCAAACTGTACCCTGTCCTGCATGCTTGTCCCCACCTGACCCCCCAGAGGCTCCTTCCCCTCCCTCTCCTCCTCACTCTAGCCACTCTAAAATATCAGCCCCAAGGGGCAGGGCTCTACCCTAAAGTGTGTCCCAATGAACCCTGTTGCACAGGCTCAGCTACATGGCCAGGCCGCAGGGGACAGGGGAGAGGCTCATTGTTTTCAAATGAGGGCCTGAAGGGAGGGGAGAAGCTTTGGGCAGAGCAGCTAGAAGTGTGGGAAAGGTGGGGTGCAGGTGCTGCCCTGCTACAGGGCCACAAGTGGCACTACGGCACCCCAGGGGGCCAGCTTTAAGCCAGGTGCAATGTTGAGGGCCATGAGGGGCCCTCCTGACATTGCCTGGGATGCAGAGGGCAAGAGTAAGCCTCCTGGGGACTTGGCAGCCTATGTAATGGCCTGTGCTCAAAGCCTGGTGACCTAGTTGATGCCAGGTGTTAGGGGAGGCTTCCTGGCAGAGGGAACAGCTTGTACTGAGGTACAGAGGGTGGGGGTGGACTTTGTCCAGAACCCAGGGAAAAGGGGGGCATTGAGGAGCATCCTGGTTGAGTTGAGGGAATGGTGAACCACTGACCCTCCCAGCATGCCCCTTGTACCCTAGTACCCCCACCCTCACTGCCCCTGGACCCCTTGGACCCCAGCCCCCCACCCTCATTGTCACTGGACCCCTTGTACCCCAGCACCCCCACCCTCACTGCCCCTGGCTGTGCATGCCCTGCCTGCCTCTGCTGACACCCCTCAGTGGCCACAGGGCATTGGACTCTGAGGCTTTGGCCTGGCCTTTCCAGCCCCTATGCACACTAGCTCCAGGCTCTCTCAGCTGCTTTTGGGCTGGACTGCCCTAGCTGTGCCTCCTGTGGGCTCTGGGCTTTAGGGCCTTGGCAATTCCGGATTGTTCTGCTGGAGAATCCTGGCTGTCCTTACACTTAATTCAGATTGACACCTCCTTTAAACAGCCTACCTGGACTGCCCTGCTGTGCTCCCCACGACACTGACCACCCTCTACTCATCTCCCAGCACACCCAGGCCTCCAGCAGGGCAAGGCCTGTGGAGGGAAGATGAGTTATCTTGGGCCAGGTGGTCCCTGCACTGGAAGGAGCACAAGGAGGAGAACCTCGGGACAGGCTTGTGGCTCTTTGGCTCACTGTCCTGTGGGACTGGGCTCCTGGCCCCATGTCTAGTCCCATTAGATCCCTGTAACCTCTGACACTGCCTTGGACACAGAGGGCAAGAGTAAGCCTCCTGGGGACCTGGCAGCCTGTGTGGTGGCCTATGCTCAAAACCTGGGGACCTAGTTGATAGTAGGTGTTGGGGGAGGCTTCCTGGCAGAGGGAACACCTTGTACTGACGTACAGAGGGTGAGGAAGCCTGGATTGCTTGTGGAGCCTCACTCTTGTCTGGCTGGCTCCAGCCACTTTATTTATTTGTTTGTTTGTTTTGGGGAGGCGCCTGTGGCTCAGAGGGGTAGGGGCCGGCCTCATATGCTAGAGGTGGTGGGTTCAAACCCAGCTGCGGCCAGAAACTGCAAACAAACAAAAAAAATGTTTAGAGACAAAATTTATTTGTTTTGAGACAAATGCCCATCACAATGCCTGGCTATTGGGCGGCTCATGTGGCTCAGTGGGTAGGGTGCTGGCCCCATATACCAAGGGTGTCAGGTTCGAACCTGGCCCAGGCCAAACTGCAACAAAAAAAAAATACGTAGGCGTTCTGGCAGGTGCCTATAGTCCTAGCTACTTGGGAAGCTGAGGCAAGAGAATCGCCTACGCCCAGGAGTTGGAGGTTGCTATGAGCTGTGACACCACAGCACTCTACTGAGAGTGATAAAGTGAGACTCTGTCTCTAAAAAAAAAAAAAATACCTGGCTATTTTTTTTCTTTTACTACATTTATTTTTTTAATTAATTATTTTTTATTAAATCATAACATTGTACATTGATGCATTTATGGGGTTTAGGGTACTGCTTCAATATACAATATGAAATGTTTACATTGAACTGAGTAATACATCCATCACAATTATACTCATTGCTTAATAGTTTTGAAGTGTACCATTGCATCATACACATTAGGTGAGGTTTCCCCAAATGCCCTCCCTCCTCCTATATCCCCCTGTTATTTTTATTTTATTTATTTATTTATTTTGAGACAGAGTCTCACTTTATTGCCCCCGGTAGAGGGCTGTGGCTTCACAGCTCACAGTGACCTCCAACACCCAGGCTTAGGTGATTCTCTTGCCTCAGCCTCCCAAGTAGCTGGGACTACAGGCGCCGGCCAGAATGCCCGGCTATTTTGTTATTGCAGTTTGGCTGGGGCTGGGTTTGAATCCTCCACCTTTGGTATATGGGGCCAGCCCCCCACCCAATGAGACACAGGTACTGTCCTATTTATTTATTTATTTATTTAATTTATTTATTTTGAGACAAATCTCAAGCTGTAGCCCTGGGTAGAGTGCTGTGGCGTCATAGTTTATAGCAACCTCAAACTCCTGGGCTTAAGCGATTGTCTTGCCTCAGCCTCCAAAGTAGCTGGAACTACAGGCGCCTGCCACATCACCTGGCTATTTTTAGAGATGAGGTCTTGCTCTGACTCAAGCTCGTCTCAAACCTGTGAGCTCAGGCAATCCACCCACCTTGGCCTCCCAAGTGCTGGGCTCCCACCATGCCCAGCCTCCAGCCCCTTTAAAGTGAGCTGGATCTTACTTAAGTGATTTATTTGGGCTAGGGGTCTTGTCTCCGCCT